GGGGCCAGCAAGGCAGTTTTGTGCTGGTGGGGGGGGGGGGGGGGGGGCGAGCGAGGCAGTTTTGTGGGGGGGGGGGGGGGGGGGGGGGGGGGGGGGGGAGACATTTTTGGGGTGCCAAGGGGGGGTCCCTACGCGTTGTAGGGGAAGCTGAGCAGGACCCCCTCGTAGGGCTGCAGCTGCAGCTGCCCCAGCTCCACCTCGGAGCTCTGGGGGCCGCTGCGGTGGGTGCTGAGGCGCAGGGTGGCCCTGGGGGGCAGCAGGGCCTGGGGGAGGCTGACCGGGCCCAGGGGTTCCCCGCGGGGGTTGAGCACCAGCAGGAATCGGTCGTTCTGGTCCCAGCGGCGCAGGACGGCCACGGCCCCGCCCGCCGGCAACACCTCGGCCCCGCCCAGCGACAGCGACCGCTCCCCCGCCCGCAGCACGCCCAGGGCCCGGCACAGCTCCAGCACCTGCCACTGAGGGAGAGAAGGGGGTCAGCAGGGCTGGGGAACCCCCAAACACGGCCTCGGGGGGACAAATGGGGTGCTGACCTTTTAAGGGTGAACCTCGTGGAATTGCCCTTTTAAGGATGGTATTGCCCTTTTAAGGGTGTATTGCCCTTTTAAGAACAGTATTGCCCTTTTAAGGATGGTATTGCCCTTTTAAAGATGGTATTGCCCTTTTAAGGGTGCATCGCCGTTTTAGGAGTGAGGTTGAGGCACTGTCTCTTTAAGGACCCACTTGGGATGTTGCCCCTTTAAGAACAGCCCCATCCCTGGCATTGCCCCTTTAAAAACACACCTGAGCTTGTTGCCCTTTTAAGGACTCGCCCCACCCCCAAGAACCAGGTAAGGAGGCGGCCCCACCCCCTGGGCTGTTGCCCCTTGAAGAACAGCCCCTCTGGGGGCGTGGCCGAGTGTGGACCCGCCCCTTCTAAGATTCCCACTCCTCCTTTAAGAAAACATGGCAGCCATTTCCCCTTTAAAAACACCAGGCTTAAGAAAGCCCCGCCCCTTTTAGGACAAACCCCACCCCTACACAGATGAGTAAGTCCCACCCCTTAATCTCAGGCCACACCCCCTCCCTCAAAAGCTCCGCCCTCCAGTGTCACACCCACTCCAGGGCCATTGCTACTTTAAAGGAGCCGCCCTTTCTTGAGGCCACGCCCCTTCCTTGAGACCCCGCCCCCTCCTAGGAGACCCTCCCATACCAGAGGCCCCGCCCACCTCAGAGGTGTTCCCACCCCCTCTCCAAAGCCCCGCCCACCTCAGAGTTGTTCCCACCCCCTCCCCCAAACCCCGCCCACCACAGAGCTGTTCCTGCCCTTTCCTTGAAGCCCCGCCCCCCTCAGAGCTGTCCCCGCCCCCTCCCCGAAGCCCCGCCCACCTCGGAGCCGTTCTTGCTTTCCTGGAGTTTCTGGATTCGCTCCCACGGCATCGGGGGCGGCTGCGGGGGGAGGGGAAAGGGGCGGGGTCACCCCCAAATCCCCCCCAGCTCCCCAAAACCCCACCCCTTGGACCCCCAAAATCCCTACCCCCCAAGTTCCTTTCAATTCTCCTCTGAGACCCCCAAACCCCCAATGTTCTCCCACAGCCCCCCAAAAAGAGCCCTGACCCTCAACCACCCCCCTGGTCCCCCAAAATCCTCCCCCAAGCCCCCAAATCCCCCCATAACCCCTAAAAATGATCACCAACCCCCCCCAGCCCCACAGCCCCCCAAAAATGAGCCCCACCCCCCAAACCACCCCCCCAAACTCCCAATATCCTCCCCCAGCCCCCCAAAATCTTCCCCCAACCCCCCCAAATCCCACCTTGCTGCCGGGGGGCCGGGCCAGCCCCACCTCGTCGCCGTAGCTCAGCACGGGGGTCCCGGGGAGCCCCCAGACCAGCAGCTGCAGTTGGGGGGTCCTCAGGGGGCTCCCCCAGGCCTCCCAGGGGGTCCCCATCTGCGGGGGGAGGGGCTCTGTCACCTCTGGGACCCCCAAAAGCCAAGGGGGGGGGGGGATCCCAAAACACGTGGGGGGGGAAGGGGGGATGTTGGGGGATGCCAGGATTTGGGGTGGGGAAGGTTTTGGGGGTCCCAGGGGGTCAGGGGTCACTCACAGTCCAGCCCAGCACAGTTTGGGGGTTCAGGAGGGTTTGGGGGTCCCAAAGGGGTTTGGGGTCACTCACAATCCAGCCCAGCACGGTTTGGGGTTCAGGGAAGATTTTGGAGTTCAAGGAAGGTTTTAGAGTACAGGGAAAGTTTTGGGGGTCCCAGAGTAGATTTGGGGTCACTCACAGTCCAGCCCAGCACGGTTTGGGGGTTCAGGAGAGGTTTTGGGGTTCAGGGAAGGTTTTGGGGGAGCCAAAGCAGGTTTGGAGTCACTCACAGTCCAGCCCAGCACGGTTTGGGGGTTCAGGGGAGGTTTGGGGTCACTCACAGTCCAGCCCAGCACATTTTGGGGTTCAGGGAAGGTTTTGGAGTTCAGGAGAGGTTTTGGGGTTCCCAGAGCAGGTTTGGGGTCACTCACAGTCCAGCCCAGCA